TGGGGCGAGATTTCCTGAAGCAGTTCAACCCCGAAATTGATTGGGTCAATCGGAAGGCGTGCATCTACAACAACGGGAAGCGGATAGAGCTACGAAGCTGGACGGATACAGGGGATGTTCCTGAAACGACACTGGCACGGTTCGAACGGACGGTGAACGAGAGTAAAATGGGTTACTTAGCACTGGTTATGGCAGCAGCAGAGGAGGAGAAGCCGAGTTCGGAGCTACCTGCAGCAGTAAAGGAGGTCTTGGAGCAGTACAAGGATATAATGCCCGACGACCTACCCGCAGGCGTACCTCCAGCACGCACCCACGAGCACGAGATCGTGGAGGAACCAGGTGCGAAACCCGTCTCACGTGCACCATACAGACTAAGTCCGACCGAACTGACAGACATGAAAAAACAGATCGAATATTTACTGGACAGACAACTGATCCGCCCATCCACCTCTCCCTACGGAGCACGAGATCTCTTCACCCCAAAACCAGACGGCAGTTTACGGATGTGCATCGACTACCGCGCACTGAACAAACAGACAGTTAAAAACAAATATCCCATACCGCGCATCGACGACTTACTGGACCAACTGCGTGGTGCAACGGTTTTCTCGAAGCTGGACCTACGGTCAGGTTACTGGCAGATCAAGATGGCGGACAACTCGATCCACAAGACGGCATTCCGTACGAGATACGGCTCCTACGAATACTTGGTGATGCCGTTCGGACTCTGCAACGCACCAGCGACGTTCCAGGCAGAGATGAACCATATCCTACGGCCCCTGCAGGACGACTGCGTAGTGGTGTACCTGGACGACATACTCATCTACTCCAAGAACATGAAGGAGCACGTGGAGCATCTGCGGAAGGTGTTCGAGATCCTGCGGAAAAATAAGTTCTACGTGAAGCTGTCAAAGAGCGACTTCGTACTGAAGAAGGTGCAGTTTCTCGGGCACATGGTGAGTGCCGAGGGCGTACACGTAGACCCGCGGAAAATCGAAGCCGTTAAAAAGTGGAAAGTTCCAGAGAACGTGAAGGAGTTGCAGCAGTTCCTCGGCTTCGCCAACTACTACAATAGGATTGTGCCGCAGTACGCTAAGATAGCAGCGCCACTGACCGACCTACTGAAAAAGGACACGCCCTTCAAATGGGGTGCTCCTCATCAGCAAGCCATGGAACAGCTACAGACAGCACTGACCACAGCGCCAGTACTCATCCTACCAGACCCAGAAAAGGACTACGTAGTACGACGGCTTATGCTGGCTTTGCTAGCTTGCCTGGACTTTATTATGCTATTTCTAGCTTGGGTTTATTTTATCATGCATAGTTATGCTTGATTTCCTAGGTTAGGTGCATTCCTATATTTTATTATAGTTATAGCACCGAACCAGGTTACGTGTACCGAACTCAAGCTTATTCGGTTGCCACCGAATTGCTTTCTACCGAGTTCGGGAAGGTTCTGTTCGGGACGCTTCGCGACCCTCAGAACATTCGCGTAACACCTGGGTTACCTGCTTTGTGTCGAGCCTATATATAGCCTCGCAGTGTACCCAGGTGCATAATTCATTTCACATTCTCTTTTCTTTTCTCTTTTCATCTCACATAAAGTGGGGCCCTGTGTTTAGCCATGTGCTGGTTAGAAAGGCACGGGTGGCGCTGGTTTGACCGCAAGGTGTACAAGAAATTTTCATGGATGCGACACTGTTTCGGCCCCAACAAAACTGGACCATCGGCAACAGTACCTGCCGAAAAATTCGGGGTTGAAAGAAATCGTGGCAACTATCGGAGTTTCTCCTGATTCAACGGTCTATTCGATGGCGGTGTAGAGGCGAAGATGGAGTTCCCGAGGCTACGGAGTTTTAAAGCGATAGGAACGGTGGGCAGCGAAGCGGCCGGGCGGGCGTTTGATACGATAAACTCACCCCGACTACGATAGTGTTCGTGCCTTTATCGAACACCATAAAAATCGCGGCAACACGGAGTTATGCTTCATCCGACAAATGCGGCTGCTGGGTGAACGGTGGCTTGCCGATATTGTCGGGGGGTGAAACGAAAATAATTGACGGTGGGAGACGGGTGAACGTCTGCTCGCCAAATGACTGCGCAGTGTACTTCGAAGTGGTCTCGGGAAGTTCTACCACGAGATCTGCGGCGTTGATGCGCGCTAGGGTCCGTGAAAATCGGTCTCGGAAGACCCATAAGTACTGGGTTCCACGCCAAAAAAGCACCTCCTGTTGGTGGGTAGCTTGGGTGGTTAATAGCACGAAAAAAATGGTGACCGGGTGGGCGTGCCAGAAACATTGGTTCTTCCGGAGGACAACCTGCACGCGACTGAGATTTACGCGGTGTGGTTCATTTCCGACATTAGCGGGTGCAACGAGCAGTTCCGAGAAGAGTCTTAACGGAGATAGCGGGGTCGCTGACAGTTTCCGTGCTGACGGCCGAGTTGCAGCGTTGCTTGATTAAGCACGCGAAGGCACTCGTCGTCAAATGTGTAGCCATACAAATCGGAAGCTGCTCGGGGGTACTAGCCGCGAACACCGGTGAATTTTCTCGCAAGGTGGGGGGAGGTAGGACACCTGTTTCGCCTCTGCCCCGAAGTTCTCGGCGAGTTACGACAACGTCGCCGAGGTAGCTGTCGTCATCGACAGTTCAAGTTTGGGTTTGAAAAAACTATTGCAGGCAGACAGGGGGAGGAACAGCGGCTGTTTTCGCCCCTGCCCGAGAGTTTACGGAACAACGCAACAAAGACCTTGGCGAGTGGCGACACATCCGCCGGGGGTGCTGACAGCTGCATGTGCTGCAACATTCGTTGAATTCAATTCTGCCACAGTAATAAGACATCAGCAGTGATTTTCGGTTTGCAGTTACTGCCAGCTGTAGATACGGCAGCTATTATAGACTGCCACGCGAAGATTTCGGGAGATGCTGCAGCAGCAGTCGCGACTACAAGACAAGAAGACAGTTTTCTTAATAAAATTATCTCGAAGGGTTGCACCCGAGTCCAGACGCACAACGCTTTACCCTCTCAAAGGACTTCGCGGGTTACCCTGACGAATACTAACAGGTCAAGACAAAGATTTTCGACACCGACAGCAGTTTCGACAACGCAGCAGCCGAATGTTAGACGGAAGGTCATAACACTTGGTATTCGAACTACCCTCGATGTGCAGGGTGGTTGTGGTTTCATACCCGCGCAGCTGCGCACCTTTGGGTGGGCAGTCAATTTCGACAAGGGGGGGCGGGGGGGGGGAGAACGTGCTCTCGCACTGTACTTATCAGTTTTTTCTTACATTCGTGTGACACATTCAACACGACCGACGCTCGCGATAGCTTCAACGGCATCAACGACTACGGATTCACCGGCCTGACCGACATCTGACATCGCATCAGAACCCCGCCCAACATCGCTTTCATCAGTACCGTCCGTCTGCATCAACGGCTTACGGGCACCTGCGGATTTCAACTCGACATTTCGATCGCAACCGCCAGATCGACATCTGAAAAATTTGACGGCTGACATTCAAACTCTATCCAATTTCGCCTGGTCAACTCGTCAGCCACGCGTCAGCTCGAATGTCAACGGGCTTCTTCACTGTGAGATCAGCTTCGACCGAGATATGCAGTTTTCATGTTGCTGCAAGACTCGTCTTCATATAAGGGCACCTTATTTAGAAGGTGGGAGAGTGTAATGAATACACAATTCATTACTGTAGAGGCTGCTCCTAGCGAGGACAGCCCGAGCACTTCACGTCTGGATGGCTCGGCCTACACTTTCGCACCGAACCAATTCCGAGTCGCCCCGCACCAATCGCAACATTTCCGAGCCACGCACACCTAGAGGTTCTCGCCCAGCTAGTTTCGTCCTAGACATTCTCGCATTCTTCATTGTTTCCTGATTCTGTAATCACAGTCTCTATAGAAGTCTTCCGCACACTCTGTTTAGTACAAGATTCGACGTTTTACGTCGGATGGGTTGCGTAGAAATGTATCCTCGTTTAAGGAACATCCTGATGAAACATATTATATTTCACTTATAATGTTCATTCTTTTTCGTTTTCTTTTTCATGTTTTTTATCTTTATGCTTAAAAGGGAACATTTGGATTATCAATTTACTTTTGTGATCAAAGACAATGCTTTTTATATAGGTCTTATTAAAATTGCACTTACACTTTACTATAATGGGCATTTGCTTTGTGCCTTGTTTTTTGTCTCTTCCTGTTTCTTTTTTTGTGGAATATGTAAACTATACACCGATGATACAAGTGCAAGTTAACATACATCAGTCGTAACTTAGCGTGAGAGGCCTAGCCAACAACTAGCCTCATAGGTAAACCTACTAAAGTGGATGCAGTGCCCCCCGTGCCAAGTTCCATAGCGCGCCAAAATTATGAGTCCATTTCCAGCTCTTGCCCTCCAGCAACCGGATGGGGTTAATAGTTCGCTGTTCCTGCTCCGCCAGCGCATACAATCCGTTTGGCTGCTTCTGGCCCCCCTTCTTGCTAGGTTTCTATCATGTAGCTCTGTTGTACACCTTCATATGCAGGCGAAACGCCACCCCGATTTTTCTGAGGACACGTCTCGCTCGGAACCTCCGCCCACGGAAGACACATTCGCATCTCTCCACCCAGACTTGGTGAAGCGCGATGGCCACCAGCAAAGCCTCTGGAAAAGCCGAGGGGGTAGCTGCTTTGCCAAACAGCAGGTCCCCAAGCTCCGCCACCTTCCTTTGGGGGTTCAGCAGGCGCAAAGCCCTTTTGACCGCTCCAACCACCGGCTGAATACGAGCGCATGCGAACAGGCAATGCTCCAGAGTTTCCGTTTCCCCACAGTGCGGGCAGACCGGGTTGCTGCTTAAGAAAGACACTCTTTCCCCCACCTGTAAGTTAAAGCTGTGAATCCTCAACAGCACATCCCTTGGTCTGGTGGGAGTCACTAAAGAGTCGCGGGTTTTTATAACACTCTTCCAGTCGATGCTTCCACCCCACCTGCTCGCCCACTTCTACCTTTTAGTTGAGGGCCGTTTTGCCAGCCGACAGCCCTTCTTCATTTCTTTCATCGACAGCAGCTGCCCATCCTTAAAAACTTTTGTATGAAGCAGATAGGGTTTCGGTGCAGAGCAGGGTGGGGGTGAAAGCTCGGCAGAGAGGAGTAGCAATTTCCACTCTTGCGGAACTGCCTCCCAAGCCTGCAGTGCTAGCTTCGCCTCCGCTTTCCCCTTCAGATCCTTTGCAAGGATTTCAGAGTCCTTGACCCTCCAGCCTCCCGCGCCGTCCGCCGTCAGCAGATCACGTAGACGGACCTCCCACAGCTTCGCCGCAGCTTTTTGTCCCCCCACCGTTGTTCTGTCGTTGAGTAGGATGCGGCGATTAAAGACTATTCGCTCCTCTGTCACCTCTTCCCTTGTCAGCTCCCGGGACATGTCAGCCTGTGGTGATTGCAAGAAGTTACTGCATGCCAGCTTCCACCTCTCGCTCTTCCCACGCCACTGCTTCATCAGCTTCACGTGCGCCACAAACGAGTCAGTCCCTAGCGGCAGGTCCGCGGCTTTTAGCATGATGTCTTTTTTCAGCGCGTCCGTCTCGGTGAGAAGGAGCCCTATCCGTCTGGCTGTGAGGCAGGTAAGAGTTATCTCCAGGTCGTTCACACCAACTCCCCCCTCCTCTCGTGACATATATAGCAGTTCCCTGCTCCATAGGATGAAGCCCTTATCAGTAGAGGCCCTATTCCCAGACATGAAATTATGCACCAGCTTGATAATCCTCCCCCAGATCCCCATAGGTGGGGGGAATACTTGCGCCTGAAAGAAGACTATCGGTGAGATATAGCAGTTAATGACAGCTGCGCTCGCCCCGGTTGTGAGGTGCTGCGCTTCCCACAGTATTAGCTTCTCCTTAATCTGCGCGAGGGCCCTCTCCCACGTTGGCTCACAGCTTCCAGCTGGGGTCACCCACACACCCAGCAGGCGCTCCGCGTCATCCGCTTTCGCCCACTTAAAACCATCCGTTTTCCACGGCTGCTTGTTCAAGTTCTTCCCTAGTGGCAGGATCACCGACTTCCCCTTGTTGGTAGCCAAGCCTGAGTCCCCCTCGAATTTTTCCAAGAGTTTTCCAGCCTCCTCAATCTGAGCATCCCCTTCCAAAAGCAGGGTGGTGTCATCAGCATATCCCAGATACGCCAGACGACGCCCTTCTCCTGAGAGCCCCAAGTTCCGACTCGCCGCTTCCTGCGCCAACGGCTCCACTGCGCACAGGAACAGGTACGCGGCTAGGGGACACCCCTGCCTTACTCCAGACACTACTTCCACAGCGTCGCCCATCCAACCGTTGAGTAACAGGCTCATCGTGGTGTTTTCATGCAGGCCCTATATCCAGCGAACGAAGCGACAGGGAAAGCCCATTTTCTCCAAAACACCGAACAAGAAACTTTCCGAGACGGAATCGAAGGCCTTCTTAAAATCGACGAGCAAGATGTACCAGTCTTCATCTTTATGCTTAGCGGCTTCGATGACATCTGCTACCAGGCCGACCGCATCCGAAAGACGCCTGCCCGGTAAGAACCCATATTGCTCCGTCGATATCACCTCATTGAGCATTTTTTTAATCCTGTCAGCCACGACCCGCGCCAGCATCTTCCTGTTTCTGCTTCGTCCGCGCGTCGGGTGCAAAAATTCGTGGAAGATTTTTGGAGCGCACTGAACCACGTGGCACTGTCTTGATCCGTACGTGCTTTAATTATTACAGTCTAAAAAACGCGTGGTGAAGTTTCCGCCTCGTTTTTCGCGAGTCCAACCAGGTTACAAACAAAATCACTGCAATCAATGTCGGAGTCTTGAGTCGTTCTACGGCTGCAATCTTATTTCAAGAACATCATGCAGCCATAGTGACAGATTAACAATACAATCACCATAACAAGGTGATAAGCAAATTGAGTCATGCAATCTTGTAATGGGAATAAGTGTATTTTTTTCACACCTGTCAACTCGAGTTCTGTGCTCGTCTCTTGCTTCTTGGTTCTTGGTCTTCTTGGTTCTTGCTTCTTGCTTCTCCCTCCAAACCCACCCATTCTCAAACCTGCAGTCGCGACTTACCTACCGTCTAGCTATCCCTTACTCCCTTCCGTCGCCTCTCCCTCTCACCCTGCCGTCGCGCTCCCTCCCACCCCGCCATCGCGTCTCTCTCCTAACCACCGGACGCCGCTCCCTCCCATCCCGCCATCTCCCCTCCCTCCTTCCCAGCCGCCGTTGCTGCTCCCTCCCATCCCTCCGCCGCCTCTCCCTCCTCCCCGCCGTCGCCTCTCCCTCCTCCCCGTCGTCGCTTCTCCCTCCGCCCCGCTGTCGCCTCTCCCTCCTCCCCGCCGTCGCCTCTCCCTCCTCCCCGTCGTCGCCTCTCCCTCCTCTCCGCCGTCGCCTCTCCCTCTCTTTGCCGCCGCCGCTCCTTCCCTCCCCGCCTCTCCTTCCCTACCCGCCGTCGCCTTCGGCGACAGGTGCACTGGCGCGAGCGCGGATTGGTGCGTGAGCGCGGGGTTGGTGCGCCAGCGCAGGTTGTTTTCTGAGCCACCGTGGTTATTGGGTGCGTTCCCGGTCCTCTCATCCACCCTTCCCCCTGAGTTTTCTTCTCTCTTTCCTTTTTGCTTCTTCATGAATTGTGTGTGTTGATTGGTCTCTTCTTGCATTGCACTTTCATTTGAAACAGAGCGCGAGGGAGTGCGTGTGCACGGGAGCAAACGCGCGGGAGTGAGCGCGTGTGAGAGCGCGTGACAGAGGTCGTGACAGAGCGCGTGAGAGTGTGCGCGAGAGAGCGCATGAGAGAGCGCGTGAGAGAGCGCATGAGAGAGCGCGTGAGAGCGTGTGAGAGAGCGTGTGAGTGAGGGCGTGAGTGTGCACGTGAGAGAGCGCGTGAGGGAGCGTGTGAGAGAGCGCATGAGAGAGTTCGTGAGGGAGCGCATGAGGGAACGCTTGAGAGTTCGCGTGGAGCGTGTGAGAGCGCGTGAAAGAGCACGCGAGAGAGCGCGTGAGAGAGCGCGTGAGTGAGGGCGAGAGTGTGCGCGTCAGAGAGCGCGTGAGGGAGCACGTGATAGAGCGCGAGAGAGATCGCATGAGAGAGCGCACGAGAGAGCGCGTAAAATTGCGCGTGAGGGAGCGCATGAGGGAGCGCGCGAGAGAGAGAGAGAGAGAGAGAGAGAGAGAGAGAGAGAGAGAGAGAGAGAGAGAGAGAGAGAGAGAGAGAGAGAGAGAGAGGAATAGCTTAGCCCCTTAGCCTCCAAGCCTCTCAGCCCCCCTCTCTCCTAGTTTATAAGGCCTTGGGGCCTTTGTAGTTCCTCATTATTCAGCGGCGGGTTCGTTTCTTCTAACCCAGCGGCGAAAGAGAGAGAGAGAGAGAGAGAGAGAGGCATAGCTTAGCCCCTTAGCCTCCAAGCCTCTCAGCCCCCCTCTCTCCTAGTTTATAAGGCCTTGGGGCCTTTGTAGTTCCTCATTATTCAGCGGCGGGTTCGTTTCTTCTAACCCAGCGGCGAAAGAGCGAGAGAGAGAGAGAGAGAGAGAGAGAGGCATAGCTTAGCCCCTTAGCCTCCAAGCCTCTCAGCCCCCCTCTCTCCTAGTTTATAAGTCCTTGGGGCCTTTGTAGTTCTTGATTATTCAGCGGCGGGTTCGTTTCTTCTAACCCAGCGGCGAAAGAGCGAGAGAGAGAGAGAGAGAGAGAGAGGCATAGCTTAGCCCCTTAGCCTCCAAGCCTCTCAGCCCCCCTCTCTCCTAGTTTATAAGGCCTTGGGGCCTTTGTAGTTCCTCATTATTCAGCGGCGGGTTCGTTTCTTCTAACCCAGCGGCTCGCGCCGGCCGCCTTCGGCGGCCGACGCTCGACAGCGCGGCCTTCGGCCGCGCGTGAGGGGTGGCAAGACACACTCAAAACAAGCAACTATAGGCATGCATACAAGCAAGGCACACACGACACTAGACTAGGAAAAGCAATGGAGCAAACGGAGCTCCGGGGGCCCGCGGACACTACATCTGGTCCGCGTCAAACACAGCAAGCAGGCCCGACAGCGTGCGATGGAGCTCCCGCACCAACACCGTGCCTGCGGCGATCGCCCCGGATCCAGTCCCTGCATGCAACAACCGGCGCAGCCCACGCACGGCCGAGCCAAGGGGCCCGACCCCCGCAAGCCCACCCGGCGCGGGCGCAGCCAACACGGGCGCTAGCAGCTCGGCGAGGCGATCAGCAGCCGCGAAGCAATCGTCCCGAGGGCCGCCCACCAGTGAGTCGCCCTGGGACAGGGCGGCATGACCATACATCTGCACCAGATGCACGACCCGCAGCGCCTCCGAGAGGCGCCAGATCTGACCAAGGGTCACCTCCGGCACCGCAACCGGACGCTGAGGTCCCAGCAGGGCCGAGAACGAGTGAGCCACACCTGCAGACGGGGGAGGGGGATCAACAGGCAGCAAGGACGGGTACTGTGCAGTCACGGGCCCACCAGCAGCAGTCAAAAACTCGACCCCCGCCACAGGGGGGACCCACGGGGCCCGGCGCTGATTCCCCGCCTGCGGGGTCGAAGCAGAGGGAACAAGAGGAGGAGGAGCAACCGCAGGAGGACGAGGGGCAGCCTGGGCGAGAGGCGCAGCCGGGGGAGGCGCCACTGGTGTCTGAGCAACACGCGGGGAGTTGCTCTGGCTCGCCTGCCCGTTCCGCTCCTCGCGCACAGCAGCAGTTACCGCGCGCTGCAGGTCAGCCATCGTCACCGGCTGATCATACCCCCAGCCGCCACCCTGCTGTCGCGGCCCCCACCAGCCGCCTCGGCCGCCGCGTTGCGCCGCCCAGTTCGCCTGAGAACCGCGGCGCCGCGGGGAATTGTGGCGGCGCCGGGACGTCGCGCGCTCGTCCTGACGCACGGGGGATTGGGGCCGCTGCTGACGGCGGCCAGGAGACTGCCGACGCGGAGCGGACGGTGCAGCGGGATTCGCCACCAGTGGTGCGACAGGAACAGCAACATGCGGCGCAGACGGACCCGCCGCATGCGGAGCCGACAGTGCAGCACCAGGCTGGGCAACAGGAGCAACTCCAGGCGGCGCAGGAGGAGCACCCGCAGACGGTGCAGGGGGCGCAACCACAGGTGGCGCGGGAGGTACAGCCGCGGCCAGAGCAGGAGCAGACCCAGCAAGCACAGGCGGCGGAGGCGCTAGCGTCTGAGGCGGTGCAGACAGGGGAGCCGGAGCGGGGGGAAGCGACGGCTGGCCCTGGACGTCAGTGGTGGCGGACCCCTCCGGCTGGGCCGCCACGCCGCCAGCAACAACCGCCTGTTCGGCGGCCGCAGACGGAGCGACGGGGTCGGCAACTCGAAGAGCGCCAGACGGAGCAGACACATCGGACGCCGCAGCGAGAGGGACAGGCGGCGCAACAGGAAGCGATGCAGACAGCGCGGGCGCCTGGTGACCACCGTCGCCAGGCAGAGACGCCAGGGCCTCGCGAAACGACGGTGCGGGGCGAGGAAGGATTTCAGCGCCTTCTGTCACGGGCTTCGGAGCAGGCGGCGTCGGGGAGCCCGTCGGCATGGTCCCCGTTCCGGAGGCAGGCGGTGGCCTTTCGAACGCAGCCGACGGAGCGTCAACGCGCATTGGCGAGTAATCGGTCGGCCCAGAAATCACCATCGAGGGGCCGTGGAGGGCGAGGCAGAGGGAGAGTGTTAGCTAGCGGCGAAGGGGGAGGACCCGAGAATGGCTTCCAAGCGGCGGGGCGACAGGCTTTAACAGCTCTGGAAAGAACTAATGAGGAGGAGGAGGATCAAGGGGATCCCTCTTATAAGGAGGAGCCTCTCCCACTAAGTGAAGATGACGAGGAGGAAATAGCTGAGGCTGGGAGGCCAAGGCATGGGAGGCAAGCAGGAATGCATGAGGCAGGCGAGGGAGGAGGAATGCAACAAGTCAATCGGACGGCTACGATTCCAACCCCCGGACTGAGCGATGCACCGAGGCGCGCGCAGAGGAATCAAACCGCGCACTCTGGCAGCGCGTCAGCAAATCAGGCACATTTCCCCCGCTACTTCTCGCCAGAGGAGCTGGCGAAGCGAACTGACCTGTTCGCAGCCATCGCTGATTGGGATTTGGCGGCCCTATGCGACAGTCGTCAGCCATCCCTGTCGCGCCGATTACCGCCCAATTTGTGTCAGTTGTTTTCACTGGTGTTACTCACCCCGCTCCTCCACCTCGCGCGAAATCCGGACTCAGTCGCAGGTTGGCGACTGCTGCTGTTTCTCCCTCGGCTCACACTTCGCCAAACATCGCCAAGAAGACCGAAGTGGCCCGAAGTCAAAGCCCGGCTCCGAGCTTTCCAGCGTGGCGAATGGGGGCAG